CCCCCCCCCCCCCACCCCCTCCTCAATCGACCGACCGTTGCCTGGCTCGGCTATTTCATATTGCACATAATCAGGCAAACGCCCGTGAAGTGATCGATATTTTGGACATCTTTCGTGATACAAAAAATTTGTACTATTTATGTAAACATTTGGCTGGACAGAAACTTATGACGGTGAGTTGCATTGTGTCTGTAGAATTCAACAAAACACACCACTATTGGACATTGTTAAAGCTCGGGGGAAAACTTTTCATTTTCTTTTTTGTTAAAAAAAATGTCACTTGATTGTTGAAAGTGAACAAAAATGACTGATGTGACATTCGGGATAACTGGTCAAATTGGTGAAGAAATACTGTTCCGTAGCAAGGTGAATTACTGCCTGCGAATCAGGTGATGAACGAGTTTGCTGTTTTTACACTACATAACAACACTAATACAATAGGGATGAATAAAGCCCCTCTATGGAAATCTTGCTGTGCAGATACCACTTAGTTGTTAGGGGTATGCTTACTCGAACTATTTCATAGCCCCTAAACCCCATAGTTGTGTGTTCGAATCGCTCCAACACTGTTCAAACTACCCTCACATTCCCTTCACACACACACACACACACACAAGTACTTCTTTATCTTCCCAGAACAGATCTTTACTTAATTGTACCTCCACTGTCTATAAGACAAAAGATGTGATTACAATCTGTTGTGGCTCTCGGTTGAATCGTGAACGGGATTGGCTAGCTTCATTGAACTCAAATGTGTGCATTCTTTGAATTCATGCTACGTGACGTATTAACTAAATCATTTCCAAGTTCCGTATTCCATGAATATAAAAAGGACACTTGGGTTTTGTGTTCCGGGTTGTTATAGTCGACCTTCCTCTTAGACAAATCCTAAGCAATCGGACAAACATTGAATTGCACTTCCAAAGTATCTAACTTTATGAACACTAATGTCTAAGACGCTTGTCCGCGCTATCGTGAGCTTCTAATCTCTGGGACTCCACCAAACCGACAGCTCAATCCTCTCAAACTATATTTCCATTAGATCAAAGCTAATCTCGTTGAAACTAGCTGGCAAAATGGTATTCGAACTAGTTAAGTGTAAGCGTTTCGTGTAGGGAGAATGGATATCCTGTGGTGCTCTCCAGTTAATGATTTGTTCCGATCCGGGTTTTATAAATAGATGAGATGGATTACATAACCCGTCACTGTTATTTTTCAAGCTCTTGTTAGCACTTTTCGCGAGACTTCACGCAATGAGATTGCACTAGAACTGAGACAGACTTTACACGTTGTTTGCAGATAGCTGTCATGTGGAAAACTTTCGTGATAACCTGAGGAGACTCCATGACAATTTTATCATATGCAATCTGTGCACAAGCCACTGTTCGATCAGTTCAAAGAATGTGTGGTCCTACAATCACATTAACTGAGCGCATTCTGCGAGCACAGTTTACACATCAGTTGCTTTCACGGAACACCGTATTCTCACAAACCGTCAGCATTTGACGCCCTCATGTTCGTCCGTCAACTATTGTGGACAAAAGAGGGGGAGGCCGTATCAAGGATCAATCTCCTACACTGTCCGTTAGATCGCCTCAGTTGTCCGGCCTGATGCGGGAAACACACACCGTTCGGAAACAAGTGTCATTCTCAAATGCGTTTGGGGTCTGTTCGCATCAGGACACAGACAGAGTGATTAGGAAGACAGACATCTTGACGCCAAATACAACAGTCAGTCTTGTGTCTTCCAGATTTCTCACCGCAGGAGGAGACGTTTCACGCATGCTGTGGGTCAGAATCCTGTCAGTCAGGCCGAGAAAATTAATGAGATCATTTGTGATTGCGAGCCGTGCATATATCACCGGGGCGAGAAAGTCGGAATATTTTTCGATAACCTGGAGGGAGAGAGAGAGAGAGAAGGAAAGCGCTTGCCTTCTCGTCGAACGTTATTTTCAACCGAAACCGATAGCGTAATTCAAGTGCGGTTTTCTGGCTTCATTTACGAGAAATCGCTGAAAAAGGACACGAACATAATCACAGACCAGGATTTCTTCCTATGAGGTTGGTGAAGCTGAACGCTTGGATGTGCCATACGCATAGAATACCTATTTGGAATGTCACCATCGTTCTTAATTTTTCAGATGCAGTTAGTTTGTGCACAGTCGGAAAACCTAAAGGGCAGACGCTTTCAAATACGTTGTAGTCTAGGAGCACCATAAATCATCTATTCTAACCTCGCGTTTATCAAATATCAGATAACTGTGGTCAACAGGATAAAACGAATAATTTCTTTCTGCAAATCTGCCAATAAAACGTGACACTTTGGATAATTATTGATGTCCGTTCTCGGATTGAATGTCTTAGGCCAGTGGTGTATGACATCCCCTATGGGAACACATGGCTTAAAGTTAAGGAAGAGGTTTAGTCAATAAGGGTGATGCAAATTTCAGTGTTGGCTTTCCCCTGAAACCATAAAACTGTATTTAAACCACGTCATTTATACTTGAATCATCCGGCGCCAAATGCATGCAAACTGCGTGCACCAGTGCTGGTCCTTGCACAAAACACACAATGTTAAGCCGCATTATTGATTGCCGGGTATTGTCACAAGACATGAATAGAACCTTGCAGACTGTTCGTCTCGGAGAGAAAGTCAACGAACATCAGTTACGAGGAGGTCCAGATGATCTGGCAGTACAGAGCGTCATCAGCCCATCGCGTTTTATCTCGAATGATCGGAGTCCAATACCATCAATTAACCGCCTTTAATTGACCCTCAACACTTTGTTTGAATATTCCGCATATATTCGTTCGTTTGTATATTGTAAGTGAAGGTTCAAGGTCATGTATAAAAGGAAGTACAAATTTCCTAGCTATTCAGCAAAAATTTGCACACTCCCGGCCCGAAATCCTTTTGTTTCCGGTTGGTAAATTTAATTTGACTACAGTCATACGAAAGTAGACCTCATCTCGTGTGCCTTTATCTTCAGGTCCCCAGGCAAACCGACTGGTCAACTGTTTCCAGTTCATCACCATCAAGGAAAAATTCAAGCGAATTTTGCGCCCGTTCTATACAAGCATAGAACATATTTTCAAGAATAAACTACTAACTTACAAGGTACACCAGTCAAGAA